TTTTATTACATTTTCAATTTCACTCATTGTAATTGGGGTGTTTAGAATTTCTATATCTTCTTCATTTAACTTTGGCAATTTGTATGTATCTAGGAATCTGCCTATTCTGTGTTTTCCATTTTATTGAAGTACACGTTCTCGAAGTAGTAGGTATTGATGATCCTTTGGATTTGCGTTGGATCTGTTGTGACTTCACCGTTATTCTTAATTGCATGTATTTGCGCCTTTTCTTTCCTTTTTTTGATAAGGTTATCTAAAGGTTTATCGATTTTATTTATTCTTTAAAAAACCAACTCTTTGATTCATTGATGTTTTTTGTATTGTTCCCTTAGTCTCCATTGCATTGATTTCTGCTCTGATCTTTATAATTTCCTCTCTTGTACACGCTTTGGATTTGTTATACTTTTCTTTTTCTAGCAGCTTGAGGTTTTGCATTAGGTTATTTATCTGAGTTTTGTTTGTTTTCCTAATATTTCCTGTTTTGTCTGTTTTCACTGCTATGAATTTCCCACGTAGAACTGCTTTCATTGTGTCCCATAAATTCCTGTATGTTGTATTGGCATTTTCATTTATTTGTAGAAACTGTTTAAATTCTTCTGTGAGCCATTAGTTTTTCAAGAGGATTTTATTCAGTTTCCATGTGTTTGGAGGGGTTTGTGGTTTCTCATGTTATTGATCTCCAATTTTATTGCACTATGGTCTGATAAAATACAGGGGATAACTTCAGTTCCTTTACATTTACTTAGACATGTCCTATGAGCTAGCAGGTGGTCTGTTCTGGAGAATGACCCGTGTGCAGCTGAAAAGAATGTGTATTCTGATTTTGGGGGGTGGGACACTCTGTAAACATCTATTCAGTCCATTTGTTCAATAGCTTGTTTCAGTTCTAGAATTTCCTTGTTAATTTTTTGTCTAGATGATCTGTCTGTTTGTGATAGTGGGGTATTGAGGTCCCCCACTACAACTGTGTTAGTGTTTATTTGGTTTTTTGTGTCCATTAATATTTGTTTTGTATAGTTGGGGCCATTCGTATTTGGTACATATATATTTAGGATTGTCATGTCTTCCTCTTGGATTGTTCCCTTCACAAGGATCTAGTGACTGTCTTTGTCTCTCTTAGTTAGTTTTGGTTTGAAATCTATTTTGTCTGCAAATAAGATTGCTACTCCTGTTTTTTTCTGGGTTTCTGTCCTGTAGAGAACTGTTTTCCATCCTTTTACTTTCAGTCTATGAATTTCCTTTTGAGTTAGGTGTGTTTCTTGTATATACAACGTATTGTTGGATTTTGCATCTTAACTATTCTGCCAGTCTATTTCTTTTGATTGGTGAATTGAGGCCATTACCATTGAGGTATTACCATTACCATTACCATTGATTGATGAATTGAGGCCATTGATGGTTATAATTGATAGATATTGATTCATCCTTGTCATGATGTTTTACTTTTGTTGGCTCTTTTATTTCTTATTTTCTCCCCCTTTCCCTTTAGTTTCTTACCTTGCCTGGTGGCTTCCCTCTGTTGGGCCTCATGTAGTTATTACCTTCCTTGTCTTTTTCTAGGATATTGTTTAGAATTGCTTGTAGTGCTGGTTTGGTGTTCATGAAATTTCTCAGGTGTTCTTTGTCATGGAAGTATCTAATTTCCCCATCAATTTTCAAAGATAATTTTGCAGGATACATCAGTCTAGGTTGGAAGTTATTTTCTTTTAAGGGGTTGAAATACTACTCCAGGCTCTCCTTGACTTGAGGGCTTGTGTTTAGAAGTCTGCTGTGATTCTGATCGGCTTTCCTTTGTAGGTGATTTGTTTGTTTTTCTCTAACTGCTTGTAGGATTTTGTTCTTCTGTTGCCTTTCTGGGATCTTGATTATTATATGTCTAGATGTAGATTTTTTTTTATCATGGCTAGTTGGAGTTCTGTATGCCTTACTTATCTGTATATCGAATTCTTTACCTCTGTCTGGGAAGTTTTCAACTATTACTTCTGTGAACAGTTTTTTTTATGTCAATTGTGCTTTCTCCTGTTTTTTCATGGACTCCTATCAATCTTATGTTATTCTTTGCATCATCTAGCAGCTGTTGGATTGATTTCTCGTGGTCCCTTACTATTTTTAAGAAATTTGTTTTCATGGTCTTTAACCGTGATCCTGTCTTCTATATCTGATACTCTATCTTCAGATTCCCTTAATCTGCTGTGGATACTTTCAATGGAGTTTTTAATCTCTTGGATATTTGTTGGAATCTGTTTCATGGATTCTATTTCTTTCTTATGTTGGGCAGTCATGGTTTCCATATCTTTCTTATACTGGGTATTCATGGCTTCCAGCATGTTTCTGAGCTCATCAATTTTTTCATCTGTTTCTGTTCTAGAGCTTCTCATCATGTCTTTCACTCTGTTCACCATCTCTGCATATATCTGGGAGATTATTTCTGCTTTAAATTTTTCTAGAGCCTCATTCATCTGTATTGTTACTTCCTGTGCTATCAGTTTAGGGTGTCCAGGTGGTTGGCATTGGACTTTTCCACCTCATTTCCCCTAGGGTTTACCCTTGTTGGGGTGGAAGTCGGAGTTTGTGCCTTGCTTAAATGTCTTCTCATTTTTGTTTTTGGTACTGTCCTTGTTTTAACTCCTGGGTTGATACTTTGAAATTGCTTATTGTAAGTATCTTTGTTGCTTGTAGTTAGAACCCTTATGGAATGACTACTTCTCAGAGGTGTCTTCCAGATATAGCTGGTCTTTAAGTTTTGAGTCTCTAATGACTCTGAGGCTATCTCATTATCATTTTACTAGGATGGATCCCTGACTAGATCAGTGCCCACACCTTAGCCCAAGTGATACAATCAGCAACACCATTGCATCAAGTACATCTTAGAAAATGACATTTTGTGGTAGTTATTAATCTATCACCTTTAACTGTGTGAATTAAATCAAGGTCAAGGACCAACCCAACATATGTTTATAGTGAATAAACTCTTCAACATAACAACTTTACCCTTTGGGCTGGGGAGTTAGAAGGAGTTGGCTAGGGAAGGACAGATGGGAAGAAGGATAGGGGAAGATTAGCAGTGAGGCCAGAGGACACAGGCGGGAAGGAAAAAGAGAATAATAGAAAAATAAAGAACTCCAAATGAGGGCCAAAACAGGGACAAAAACGAGATGAACAATATGGGTGAGCAAGAGAGTGAATATAAGAGAAAGTAAGGAAAAAGAAAAGAAAGAAGAAAAAAAAAGAGAGAAAAACAAAAATTTGCAAAGAGTAGGACAAAAAAAATTAAAGATAAGAGGAAAAAAAGAAAAGAGGAAAAAGAAACAAACCAATAATACTAATTTTGGAAATTAAAAATAAAAATGAAGGGCCTCTTTCAGGGTATGTCTCTGTTGTCACAATAGACAACGTGGGTAGCAGTGTGCAGATATAAGTCAGTGAGTCTCATCAAGCCAGTCCCAGACCCATGAGATTCGGACAGATTTCTGGCTGCAAGTCCCAAGTTGAGCGCCCTGCCCTCCTGTAGGGTTGAACTCTGCAGGGTTGTAATGCAGGCCTAAAGATATAGTCCCGATTCCGATGGGAAGTGATGATCGCTCCAACTTACCCAGTACAGTGGTCTGGTGGTCCAGTGTAGTCTGTGTCTTTGTAGTGTGGAACCAGATGTCAGTACAGCCAAGAGGCCAGAGGAGTGGGGTGGGGGGGGATCCAGTGGCTTGCTGCTGGGGCATGGGCTGGATTGTTGTGTTCCGTGCAGGCAGGGACCCTCCAACTGGAGAAATACTATTCTTGCCAGACAGACTGGCAAGACAGCTACTTGAGAGGCTGAGGCTGGAGGATTGTGAGTTCAAGCCCAGCCCAGGCAAAAAGTGAGATGCCACTCTCAAAAAATACTGTTCTATGTATGCTGTTTCTTTTGGTCATTTTAAATCATTGAGACAAAGTTAACTCCAAAGACATTGTTATAATGACTGCTGAAAACTGATTTGTGAATGAATTTTTTCCTTGATAAAGATAACTCTCAAACCGATGATGTGGATATGAGACCCTCTCAGAGTCTCTGTGGGGGATGGGGTCGTTTTCAGAATAATGAAATGTCATTTGCCCTTTTACTGTCATTCTTTCATGAGTGTATAGTAGTGTTTTCCAGAGATTGTGTGGTATGTGATGTTTCAACAGCTTAAATGCAAAGGAGACATTAGAATCCACTGTGCAGTGCTGGTCATCAAACTCGGCCTCACACACGCTAGGCAAGCCAGTAAAGAGACTTCAAAAATATAAAAACGAGAACTCACTTTTTATAACCCTTTTTAAATGTCAGTATTTTTCATTTAAAAACATAATTTATAGGAACATACAATCAATTTATCATTTTATAAATGTTTTTTACTTTAAATATGGTAATTAATAGATGTAATTCCTGTAAGTGGAAAAAAAATCTTTGGAGCCCTTTTCCAGAAACCAAAATGATAAAGAATCAATAATGTTTATGATCTCTTATTCTCAGATATTTGATTGTTTTATACTTTAAGTTTACCTCATAACGTCAAGTATCTGTTTTTAGGTTGCTACAAGCCTCGGGAAAGATCAGATTACTTGATGTTGGCAGCTGTTTTAACCCATTTTTGAAGTTTGAAGAATTTCTAACTGTTGGCATAGACATTGTACCTGCTGTAGAGGTATGTATAATTTTGTTTTCAGACATGAATATTTCACACATACATTTTCAAAGGAAAAGCACTGTCCACATTCCTCAAATAGCACATTTTTCCAGTATATCAGATGATAGAGATTATTTCTGTTCAAAACTAAATGTATATTCTGTGAAATATTTGAGCATTTAGTTAACAAATATTTGTGTGACCAGTACTATAGCTGTCTTTATTTTGTTTTATTCCTTGTTTTTGTCTAAATATCCATATTGTAAAACTGTGCCAGGATAAGATCATTTCATTCAAGATATTTGAGTAGATTAGAAAGATTTGCATTTTGTTTGATTGGGTTTATTTTTTTAAATGCATATCCCCTGAAATTTACTGTATTGTAGAGCCATTATGGAATAGTAAAAAGAAGCAAAGGCATTGGAGTCAGCCAAATTTTACTAAATTTGTGCTTGAGTAGATAGAACTACTTAACCTTTGTATAGTTTAATCTTCTTTTATTAGAGAGTTGTGAGAATAATACTTGATGTGGCATAGTACTAGTCCTCAATAAATGGTATACTATCCTTCCCTTTCAGAACATTGCAGTAAGTCATTTATTGTCACATTTTTATTTCAATTTAGTGAAATAGGATTGTCCACTTAATTATCTTAAACTTTGCTTTCTTATTCAGATGATGCCAGTTTTTGTTAAAGGTAATTTTTTGAAGTTAGATGACTTTGGGGTAGGTAATTTCTTTATTTATATTGGAAAAGAATTAGATTTTTTTCTAAATAATGTAAATTCATAATGTTTGACCTTTTACTTTTTATATAGCTCTACACATAAAAAAAAATGTAAAAAATATTTCTCTAGTGCTGGGGATCAAACCCAGAGCCTTGCACATGTTTGACAAGCACTTTACCACTGAGCTACAAAACCCCAGCCTACCTTGTATTAGTAGGTTATAAAGAGAATATGGATTAGAGTAAACTCCTTGGGTTAGGAATTTTTCTCATACTGCTATATTCTTACCACCTAGTACAGTGATCAGTATGTTAAATACTTGATAAGTAAAAGAATGGTATCTTACTTTCAGAAGTAGGTTTGAATGTCTCCACCACTGTTTTCTAGTCTTTCTTATCTGTAAATGGGATTAATAATGGATCATATTTCATAGGATGTTATATACCTGTTATATAGTGAGTGCTGAAGAATTGTTTACTGTTATTATTGAAAAGTTTCTGCATGAAAGTTCAGCTTGTTTCTGTTATTAATGAAAAGTTTCTGCATGAAGGTTCACCTTTGGTCTGAATCTTTGTTTCATTTTAATGAACATAACTGAATCTGTCTGAGCAACATTAAGGAATAAGTAAATACTAAAACCATTACTATTATCTTTACTTCCTAAAGACAAATATATGCTCCACAGTAAAACAACTATTTTTAGCTTATTGCTGCATAGAATTCTTAGGCTGTCAGGAGCTATAGTTGTAAAGTGCAAGGGGGTTCGTGCATGGATTCTCTCTCCTCATCTTTTTGAGGACATTAGAGATATTCTTTAGGAACCACAGAGACGTGACCATTCTGAAGCTTAGGCTTAGATATTATTTTTAAACTGCTAGATTTGTTTATAGATAAGGTTATAAACTTTGAACTATATAGGCATTAGGGAAGGCAAAAGAGCTGTTATATGTAAATTCAGTATTAAAATCAGGCTTTAATAGTTGCAGAACCCTGTGAGTAATTTGAAAACAAAATGAGAAGACTTACTATTTTAGCCAGTGTGGAATAACAGAGGCCATGTTTCCACTTTACCTCACTTTATCCCTAAAGCAACCAAAAGTAGACAAAATACAAGAAACAACTTATATCACACTGGACATTGGATAATAAAGGACAGTGATCTTTACCACTGGAAAATGAATAATATGAGTCCTTCAGTTGTACCAGCATATTGCCTTGTGAAAGTTTCCAAATGTGGCACAGAAGGAGGAACCCAAGCAGAGCCCAGCTGACTCCCTGAATTGTGGAGACCGAATGGAGCTCTGAGAGTTCTAAGAGATTAAAACAGTTCGAGTTTTATAGGACTGAGTACCAGAAATGAAAAAGCTGCACAGAGGAAAAACTCCACAAGCCTGCAAAAAAATCCCCCTTGTATATTCAGTTGAATACTGATCGGCAGATGGGTATCCAAAAACTGCGTAAGATTGTAGAAGAATACCCAAATTAACTTCTGCAGTATATAATATGAGATCCATATTTCATGGGATTAATCCATGATAGATTTTGAACTTGAAGACATGGAAATAGAAAATGTTCAAAATGAAACACAGCAGGCAAATATATGCAGAATTCAAGTCTCCCAAAAAGGAAGAGCTTGAAGAAATAATAGCCAAAATTTTTTCAAATTTGATGAAAGCTATAAATCTACAAATCTAAGAAGTTCAACAAACCTAGTCACAGAAAATTACACCAAGGACATCATAATCAAGTTTCTAAAACTATTGATTAAGGCTTAAAAGTAGCCATAAATATTTTAAAAGACATTCTAAAGCACCAGGAGAGAGAAAAAATTTGTCACCCAAAATTCTATACCTAACAAAAATATCTTTCAAAACTCTAGGTGAAATTATGGTTTTTTTCAGACATTAAAAGCTGAAAGAATTCAGTAGATTTGTATTACAAGAGATGTTGAGGAAGAAGTCTTTTAGCCAGGTGGAACTATAGATCTACACAAAAGAAATAGACCACTGAAAGTGATAACTGCTTGGGTAAAAAATACTAGATTTTCTCTTGTTACTTAAATACTTTAGAAGATAATTGACCATTGCTACAGGTTGACTTGTGTCCCCATAAAGAAGATACACTAGAGTCCTAACCCCTAGTGTATGGCTCCATTTGAAGATAGGTGCTTTACAGTGGTCAAGTCAAGTTAAAATGAAGTCATTAGGGTGGATCTGATGTGACTGTGGTGTCCTCATAAAGAGGAGAAATTCTGATTCAGAAAGAAGCACACAGATCATCATGTTACAATGAAGACAGAGGTCAGAGGGATACATTTATAAGCTAAGGAATAACAAGATCATCAGTAAATTACTAGAAGTCAGGCAGAAAGGCATAGAACAGATTCTCCTTCACAGCCATCAGAAAGAAGCAACTGTCCAGATCTTAATCTTGGACTTGCAGCCTCCAGAACTGTGAGACAATACATTTCTATTGTTTAGGCCAGCCAGCTCATTATACTCTTGTTACAGTAGCCCTATCAAACTAATACAACCATTTAAACAAAAATGATAGTATAGAGAACATTTTATAATATAGGTAAAGCTAAACTGTATGCCAGTAGTACTACAAACAATGGAATGCACTATTTTAGAGTTCATATTCTGTATAGAGTATCACTTGAAGGTAGACTATGAAAAGTTAAAGATATAAATCCTGAAGCAAACACTAAAGTAGTCATTGCTAGCCAACATAACAGATTAAAATGGAACAACAAACAGTTCAATTAATGCAAAAGATGGCAAGAAAGAGAAGACTGAACAACGAACAGGTGAAACAGATTACAGATTATATCTGAGCATGTTAGTACTCACAAATGCCCCAATTAAAAGGCAGAGATTGAGAAAAAAAGAGCCCTTCACCCTGATAAAGAGGCTAAGAAGAGCACTTCATTTACAAATATGCAAATAGATTAAAAGCAAGAAAATGGAGAGAAGAAAGTTAGTGTAGCTATGTTAAGATGAAAATAAATTCCAGAGCAAAGAATATTAGCTCAGGAGAAGGGTGGTCATTCCATAATTATAAGAGGGTCCAGAACATCATCAAACAAAACTTACAATGGAAATTAGAATCTTTTTAAAAAATATTCTTCATCTCTTTTTTGCTACTATAACAGGACACTACAGACTGAGTAAATTATAAACAATAAAAGTCTACTTGGTTCACTCTAAAGGCTGAGAAGCCCAAAATCAAGGAGCTACATCTGCTGAGGTCCATCATGCTGCCGTCCTAACAAGGTGGAAGTGCAGTAAAGCATGTGCAACACAGAGGAAGGATGGGGCCCAAACATACCCTTTTATCAGGAGCCCACTCCCTCAGTAACTCACCCTCTTCCACAATAATAGCATTCATCACCCCTTAAACATCCCAGTTCTTTTTTTTTTTTTTTGCTACCGGAGATCGAACTCGCGTCATTGCGCTTGCGCAACAGGCGGCGAAACCACTGAGCTAAATCCCCGGCCCCAAAGTTCCCAATTCTTAATATTGTTACAGTAAAAAATTTCAGTATGAGTTTTTGAAAGGACATTTAGATCAGAACAGAAATCAAGATAAAAATATAAGAAATCAGTATGTGTAGGATGCCACTAAAGTCATTAAAGTAACACTAAGGGGAAAATTTACAACGCTAAACACCATTACTAGAAAATAAAGTCTTAAAACAATGGTATCAACTTTTGCACAAGGGAGGGGGACACCTTAAATCTAAGAGAATATAATAAAGCTCACAGCAGAAATCAAAGGAAGTAGAAAATGTTCAGAAAAACAAGAAAGAAAATCGATGCCAGGAAAAAAGCTAGTTCTTGGAGAAGTTTCATAGTATTGAAAACAGATTACCGGGAAATAAGCAGAAGGAATTAACATCATTACAGATTTTATCAGTATTAAAAAGATAATATGATAAATAACTTTATACCAATAAATTCCACAATTTAAATAAAAGGGGCAAATTCCTTGAAAGACACCCCTGCTGCCACTCAAGATATACTATTCTTGCATTTGGAGAAATATATACCTGAATGGTCTTCAATCTATTGAAGAATTTTAAAATTGCAGTTAAGAATGTTCCCACAAAGAATATTCCAGTAACAAAAGGCTTCATTGTTAAAATCTACCGCCTAATTAAGGGGGAAATAATACCACTCATATACTCTTCCATAAAACTGAAATAGGTGGAATACCTCTCAAATCCTTGTGTGAGGCTATTAGTATGGTCATAAAACCAGGTAAAGCCAGCCCAAGAAAACAGCAGACCAGTATCTCTCATGAATGTAGTTGCAGATATTCTAAAAGAATTTTAACAAGTTGAAATCATTATTATTTTTGGGGGGGGGCGGTTACTGGGGATCGAACTTGGGACCTTGCGCTTGCAAGGCAAGCAGCGAAACCACTGAGCTAAATGCCCAGCCCCTGAAATCATTATTTTTAGAAAGGATAATACATTATGGTAAACACCCTGGTTTATCCCAGGAGTGCAAGATTAGTGTTCAAAAAACAATTAATGTTCAAAAAACAATCTCTTTACTATGTTAGGGCACAAAAAGAAAAGGCCACGTGATCATCTCAATAGGCACAGAAAAAAATTGACAGTAATTTGACAAAATTTAACATCGTTTCTTAACAAAAACTCTCAGTAGGAAATCACCCTGATAAAGGGGATCTGAAAAACCTGCAGCTGCTGTCATTCTTTAATAGTCAAAGAAAAATGCTTTTTCCAGAGAACTATAATTAAAACAAGATAAATTGCCTTTCACTTCTGTTCAGCATTTATTAGAGGTTTTAAGCAGTGCAATTAAAGAAAAAGCTTAAATAAAAGGAATTCAGGTTGAAAAGGAAGAGGTAAACTTCTTTTTCAATCTGAATTATCCGTTATTCACGGATGACACTGATTATCTATTAATTATTCCATGCACTCTACAAAGTAGCTACTAGAACTAATAGGCAAGTTTAGCAAGATTGCTAAGATAAAAGATCAATATGCAGGAATCAGTTGAGGTGTGTATACACACCAGCAGAAAATTGGAATTAACACCATTTACAATATCAAAAATATGAAGTATTTCTTATGAGGCCATATATTTATATGAAATGTGTATATATATTACATATATAACTAAAATGTGGAAAAATGTATGTGCTGAAAACTACTAATTGAGAGAAATAAAAAATACTAAAATGATGAGGTATACTGTATTTATTGGTGGAGAAACTCGATATTGATCTCATGTCAGTTTCCTCCAGCAGTTACTCTGTAGCTTTGCTACAATCCTGATAAAAATCCTAGCAGTCTTTTTTTTTTTTTTTTTAGAAATTTGAAAATTTGTGTGGAAATTTCAGAGGCTCTAAAGAAACTCAAACAACTTTGAAACAAAGGCAGTGTTGAAAAGTAGTATTACCTGATTTCAAAATTTATTATCAAAATACAGTAGTCAAGACTGATATTGACGTCAGGATAATTAATGAAATGTAATGGAGGTCCACATATAATATGGCCCATAGTTACAGGCTACAGATTTTCAACAAAAGGATAATCTTTACAACAAATGGTGTTAAAACAGTTGGATATCCTTGTATAAAAGAAAAAGAACGTCAGACCGTACTTCATACCACATAAAAAATGAATTCAAATGGATCACAGACTAAATGGAAACTGTAATATAATAACTTTTAGGAGAAACTATGAGGAAAACTTTTGTGATCTTGAGATAAAAGATTTCTTAGACATGCTTCCAAAAGCAAGATCGAGGAAAGAACAAACTGATAAATTGGCATTGGTCAAAATTTAAAACATGATTTTTTAAATAGATACTGTTAAAATGAAAAGGCAAGAAATATCATAGAATATTTACATGTTATACATGTGAGAAAAGACTTGCATCTAGAATATAGAGACACTCAGAATTCCACATAAGAAAACAATATTTAGAAATGTAAAGCAATCCAACTGTTTTTAAGTGGGCAAAGGATTTGAACAACTTAAATATCTTCTTTCCAAAGAAGATAACCAGATGGCAAATAAGTCCATGAGCAGAAAATAAACATCATTAGTCATTAATTAGATAAAAATTAAGACCACAGTATACCACTATATAGCTAGTATAATTGGTAGAATTAAAAAGACTGGCTCTCCCAAGAGTTGATGAGGATTTGAAAGAACTGCAAGTTTACATACTCAGGTGGGAATGTAGAAACTATATAACCACTTTGGAAAGTTGAGGCATTTCTTTTACAGTTAAATATACACTTACTATTGATTCAGCTAGCCCTCCCCTGGATATTTAGCGGAGAAAAAATGAAAGGCTTGTTCATTCAAAACTTAAAGAAGAATATTCTTAATACCTTGAGTTGTAATTGTCAGAAACTAGAATCAACCTATAAGTAAGTATATGGAAAACCACCTTGGTAAAATGGGACACCATTCAGCAATAAAGAATAAAATGCCCGGGATTTAGCTCAGTGGTGCTGCCGCCTACCTCAAAAGAATCCTGAGTTCGATTCCCGGTACCAAAAAAAAAAAAAAGAAAGAAAGAAAATATTAATACCAGCAAAAAAATGCATAAATTTCAAAATGATTGGGGCAAGTGAAAGAAGATGGGCAAAATAAGTGTACATTTTGTATTATTCCATTTATATAACATTTTAGGAAATGCAAACTAACCTGTAATAATAGAAATTGCATGAATGTTGTCTGGTGGCAAGTATCTGGGGGGTGTTGGATTTAATTATTAACTTGATATGGCAGTGGTTTCAAGAGTACAAAAGTCAAAAGTTAACAAAGCTAACGTTAACTATGCTTTTGTGTCAGTTCTGTTTTAATAAAGCTATATTAAAAAAAGGCAAAGGGAAGAAGAAAAAAGTCTTTTTCCTGACAATATAAAATTATCACTTCCCCTAGTAGACAGTCCAGATGATAAAGTGACCAGCTTGTCTACCTATCTGGGTGAATGAGAGACTAAAGTATTAGTATATATCACTGTTAGTGAATATTGCTACGTAACAAAGATAACAAATTTTTAGCTAACTTTAATAATGGTTTCTGTATTAGCTTCCTCTTACTGTAACAAAATACTTGAGATAATCAACTTAGAAGAGGTTTATTTTGGTTCAGTTTTAGTGGTTTCAGTTCACGGCTGATAGGCTCCTTTGCTCTTGGGCCTGTGCAAGGCAGTTCAGTGTAGGAGGAGCACATGGAAGCAGACCTATTCACATGACGGCCAGGATGATGAAAAGAGATGAGGGGGCCAGGTCCCACTGTTCCCTTCAGGATGCACCCCAGAGACTGAAAGTCCCACATCCTGAGAGGACCACTGTGGGAAATCAGCCTTTACCACTCGGACCACTGGGGGACACTTAGGATCCAAACTATCTCACTTTGTCGTTCACTGTTTTTTGGATAGTTTTATTCTTTTTTTTTGGTACCCGGAATGGAACTCAGGGCCTTGTACTTGCCAGGCAGGTGCTGTGCCACTGAGCTACATCCCCTAGACAGTTTTAATATTCAGCAAATTATGGAATATTTATTCCTTTAGTTGTACTGCTTCCCAGGGTCATTTGACCCTGTTAATTAAATTTGATATGTAGTTGTTTCAAACCACGAATTAACTTTTTAATAGAATAAAAGTAGCATTAATATTACTTTTTTAAATGGTTAAGGTAAATAGTTAAATACCATTTTCATGACCTTAAAATTTTTTAGCATCATTCTGCTTGTACAAATTTTATGCCTCTTTCATTACCTTCTTTGACTTCTTTGATTCATCCTATTTTCTATTTTTGTTTAAAAGTTGTTTTTATATTAGCCTGTTTCTAGTCATTTTAAATATTAAAGCGAATGTACATTTGACTGAGGTTAGAAATAAAAAATTCCTATAAACTCTTATTCAAATTAAAGTTCAAATAAACAGTTTTTTCAAATATATACTTAAAATTATTTCTAATTTCAAGTTGTAAGTTGTATCTAAATTTAGAAGAGAATGGTCCATAATCAAAGCTGGGGATTATATGGAAATGCTGCAAAATGTGAAGTAGTTTGGGTAAAATCTATGTATTAAGGTGGAAGTAATCTTGAGATTCTTAACATACCTTTTTCTTTCTGCAGAGTGTATATAAATGTGACTTCCTGAACTTACAACTTCAGCAGCCACTCCAGCTTGCACAGGATGCTATAGATGCTTTTTTGAAGCAGCTGAAAAACCCTATTGATTCTCTTCCCGGAGAACTTTTTCATGTGGTGGTTTTCTCTCTTCTCCTTTCCTATTTTCCATCACCCTACCAGCGATGGATTTGCTGCAAGAAAGCTCATGAATTATTAATGTTAAATGGTTTATTACTTATCATCACACCTGATTCCTCTCATCAGAACCGTCATGCTATGATGATGAAAAGCTGGAAGATTGCTATAGAGTCCCTGGGCTTTAAACGCTTCAAGTATTCAAAGTTTTCACATATGCATCTGATGGCATTTAGAAAAACCTCCCTAAAAACCACAAGTGACTTGGTTAGTAGGAACTACCCGGGGATGTTATATATTCCTCAAGATTTCAACAGTATTGAAGATGAGGAATATTCTAACCCTTCCTGCTATGTTCGATCAGATATAGAAGATGAACAACTGGCATACGGTTTCACAGAGCTCCCTGATGCCCCATACGACTCAGATTCTGGAGAAAGTCAAGCTAGTTCTATTCCTTTCTATGAGCTAGAGGATCCTATATTACTTTTAAGTTAATATAAAAAGCAAAAGGCCCTTTCAGTCCAGACTCCTAAACTAACGGCTTACACTAATTGGAAATACTAATATGAACTCAGTACTTAAAACCTGGTTTGCATAGAAGAAATGCAAAGGTTTACAGAGTTTGCTATTTTTTTCTACTTCTGGATTTTAAAATTTATTCTTGTATAGAAAGCTTAAAGTTTCATGCAGAATGATTCCTGTCATAGCAGAAACCACTGTTACTTTAGCATTTCACACTAAGATATAGAAAGGTACCTTTGTTTCTCTTTAGTGCTATTGTGAAAAATGAAGCATAATTTTCTATATATTTTCTTTTCAGTTGTTCATTGTTGATTTTAAACCATTGTAATGGGAAACTTTAAGATATGTAGAGAGCTGTAGATTGCACTTTGATGTCTCATAAGTTGAATATGATACATAGATTGGTTTAGTTTGTGATGCACTTACCTTTTTCCTTTTTTTCTAACTAAATTGTTACCTAGTACAGAAAGCTGTTTTCTCCTCAGTTTTGTCTTATGATCTAGTCTTTCCTGAACTTTTTGGAACTGGTGATAAGTCTTCTTTCCCTTTTTCTTCTATTAAGCTTATTTGGCAACATCAGACATCGGGGAAGATATTTCTCCTGAAGTATGTGTTCTCATTTCCTCAGCACAGTACAAGAAACACCACTGCCAAAGTGGTATTTTCATAACTTTCTCATCAATTTGGGCCTTGGTGTTGAATATATTTATCTGTGACAGTTCACTTTTACTTTTTTTAAATTTAGGTTTCATTTACAAAATTTTCTGTTTAAGCAAGGAACAATGTATAATACTCAATACTGACTGAAAACACCTTTGTGAAAGGGTTTGCACGTGTACAAGAATTTATGTTGTATTGAGACCAACTTTGATAGGGTCCCCACCTTTCCACTAAGGAGGTGCTGCACTACAAGTTTGGAATTAAATAGAAAAATTTAAAACTAAGCCTCTGCTTAAAAATCTCATAAAATGGGTTTGACCTTGTGGTCTCCTAATTTCTTTCTAAACCCTAGCAGAAAATTTTTCTTTGAATATATAAACCATTAGTTGGCTGTGGGAATTTTCCCTTTCCACATTGATAAATGCCTTTCTATGTTTCTGAATCAGAAGCAAGTGATTAAGGAGAAATAAATGTCCAAACAAGACAAGTTTAAACAGCTAGAAACATTTAGTCCACATTGTCTTGTCAGCCAGCAATTGTCATGTAAACTATCATTTTTAAGAGTGCCACTGTGTGGATTTTTTTTCAAGTGGTTATTACATTAAAATTACCTCATACTGAGGTTTTTGCACTGAAATATCACAGTTTCAGATTTCATGGCTAAGTGTGTGCACATGTGTGTGTGTTTGTGTATGTGTGTGTATTTTTAAAAGAAACTTGCATTTTCAATAATTGATGCTAAATTTCATAAACTGCACTTCCTTATCTGGTAAAGCTGATGTTTTGTGCTTATTATGAATTGCTGTAGTTAACTTTGAATGTCAGACTTTATTTAGAAATACAAAACTTATCCTTTAAGATACAAATGGTTGAGTGTGTGTACCCAATATTTCAAATGAAATTTCACATGCTAAATTAATTAATGAAGGTAACGAGATTGTAGTTAATATAAACAGTCAGTGACCAAATGCAGTAAATATTGGTTGCTCATATATACCATGAGTAACTTAAAATTTTTCATTTACTTTCAATAGCATATAATTCCTTAATAAGTGGACTTGACTTTTCTTTCCAGTTAAGCACTTCAGGATCATGTCTTGTACTTCCATCAGAACAAAAAAATGTAAAAGCAGTGTGTTCAGAATAATTCCAAATTGTGTTTTGGTAGTACCCCCTTTGCCAAACTTTTATTTAGCTAATCCTAAGAGCAATGAAAACAATACACAAGTGAAAGTACTTTGAAATTAAATGAAAACAGTGCTTTTGAAAGGTTGGTCCACCTATGACCATTGAGACAGCCTTTGTGTTACAGCCAAAATGTTGGTGCTATAAATTCTGATTGTTTACAGATGTTGATTCTGCTTATGCTCCAAACTGCATGATGTATTTTAAGTAGTACTTTGAAGAAGAAAATATGAAACCTACTACCACTTAGTTTAAATTTATTTGAATTTGTATCACTTGTTACTATAAATTTAGCTTACTCAAATTTGGTTCACACTGGATTTAAACGAACACTATTCCACCAAAGCTAGTTCAGTGTATATGTTGAGAAATATAGGGAGTCATTGTGGCTTGGTGCCAGATCACAATGTGTAATAACAAATGAAGTTAATAGGGCCTTCTAATACTGTATGGGTACTCTTAAGAATGATTTCATTTGGATATAAAAAAGTTGAGGGGCTTCCTGTCATGTTCACATCAAGTTCTACAAAATAATTTGACATTTCAAAAACAAATGATAATCATACGGTTGGATCCTTCAGGATTGTGAATAGATCTTGTGGTTTTACCATCGTTGCCAAGTGGTGGGAGGTAGTGTACCTGAAAATGTATGTTTGTGTTTGTTGTATTTTTTCACATTTTGTGAGCAAAGCACATTTATTAAAAATTTTAAATTTTCTAGTATTCTTTGTCTGTTACTTGTAATAGAGTTTTGTGGTCTTCAATATACCGGTATCTCACTAAATGCTTTCAGAATTGGGATGCAGTTTAAAATTTGAATGACTTAGAATTTCCAATTGAGTCTCATCCAATCAAATCCAATAAAATCACTCACTGAGATCCAGAGAACACAAGTGACTTACCTTATTACTGTGCATTGTAATGCTGTTCATGGCAGAAACAGGAAATCAGCATACGTTCTGGTTCATTGTATATGTAATTAACTTCAAGAAAAATGAAGTATGATAAAAGGTAATATAGATAAATATATCTTCTCTTAGGGCAACAGAGTTTTCTTATACAAGTTTTAATTCAGTGAACAAATTTTTTTATTCCATGTTTGAAGTACATAATGATTACATTCCTGTGTGGAGTTGGTGTGTGTACATAATCACATCTTAATTCCTTTTTTCATCTCCTTTCCTTCCCCTTTCTCCATCTCTTGTTACATTTTCCATTTGAGAAAGATCTCCCTACCTCATGTTATCTTTTACTATATTCTTTATATATAATTTCTCATACACAAGAAACCATGTGATATTTAGTCTTGTTATGGTCATATGTTTGAAATTCTATCATGAGAAGTAAACTGGGAAAACAGAGGAGATTGGAGTGATCAGAGTCCCTTTCATGAAGCTTATGATCTAATGGAGAAGACAAGTATTCTGCATGCACTTTGTACCTAAGAATGATTGCTTATCAATCCTATAGCTTTGCTCATGATCAGAATCCCTTGTTTCCCAGAAATGAAGCAGGAGGTAAAAAGCTTTAAACACACACATGTACAGACAAAACTATTTAGCAAATTATACATGGTCGATGAGAGGGATGTATTATTCACCCCTCTAAAAAGTACAGGTTAAATATAAACTGATTCTTAGAAAAAGCTCAACTCCATTGGTTGGAGATAAGGTCTTGTATGTAGTCCAGGCTGGCCATGAACTTGCTGTGTAGCCCAGGCTGGCCTCAAACTTGATCCTCTTGCCTCTGCCACCCAAGTCCTGGTATTGCCAGGCCTGTACCACACTCACTCTTGCAGTCAAATTTTGTTCCATTTCTTACACATTTCTGAGCATACTGCAGTAGTGTTTCTGTGCAAGAAGTCAGCAGAATGTAGATTAAAGATCTTGGGTGGGAAGCTGGGAATATAGCTTAAGGGTAGAGAATATGTTTAGTATATACAAGGCCCTAAATTCAATCCCCAGCACCATCAAATAAATAAATAAATAAATGATTTCTTCTTGGTGTCACAAATTGTTAGATGATAACAAATGTAGAAAATAAATTCTATTACTACTTTAAAAAAGATTAAAAAAGACTGTTTCTATTACAATAGTTTTATTCTTCCCTTTAAACTGAATTTCAGTGACTTGATGAAAAAACTCATATTCAAGATCCACAGTATACACACTCTCCCCAAGAATATTAGTGTTGGCCTGTACTACACAATACCCAAAGAACAAGCATGCTACCATAGCTAATGATTAATCTTAAAAGATTGCTAAATGTTACAAAGGAGAAGTGCTGGGTTTTCTAAACCCTATTTGTGTCTTATTAGGGGATTACAAACAACAATAATTGGAAAGTTTCATTAACAAACTTTGGCTCGAGTTCACATTTCATGCTAAATTTTAGCTATGTCCTTGTTTTCTTTTTCAACGAAGAATACAAACGGGGTGGGCAATATTTAGTTCTCCATCAGACTAACACATCTCTGGATAAGAGTTTTGAGAGGCTAAAATACCAAGAAATCATAAAGTCAGTAAAAACCTAATTATTGTTTCCAAATTGCCACAGGCCTTCTCACTAGGAATCCAATAATCCCTGGGAATAAAGTAGATAAGGGAATGCAGGAAAGAAGCGAGGAAGAATGTAAAAAAAGCTAAATCCTTGAAGCCTGTCTCAAAACCACAAAAAACAAAAACAAAAAACGATACTTAGGAAACAGACTTTAGGCAGAGAGAGGGTCTAATGGTTATGTAAAGGAGCTTTACTGATTTTTTGATTAGTATATGTTTGCCGTACATAATGAATACATTCATCATGGGGAATTGATACATTGTGGTCTCAAGGTGCCTCCAGTTTCCTACAAATGACAAATGAATCATTTATCCTTCATTATGGCTGAGTAGTACTCTATTGTGTGTATATACCACATTTTCTTTATCCATTGTGCCAGGTGTGGTGGTACACACTTGTAATCCTAGTACTCTGGGAAGCTGCGGTGGGAGGATTGCAAGTTTGAGCCCAGCCTGGCCAACTAAGCAATTTAGACCATTTCTAAACAAAATAAACAAAGTTTTTAAAGGGCTGGGGATGTAGCTCAGTGTGAAGGTGCTGAGTACAATCCCTAGTACCAACAACAGCAACCAATAAAAGAGCTTTATATTCTCTGATCCCACTGAACCATTAGTTCAGAAAAGCAGGCTGCTGAGGAAACAGGAAGCTGGAAAACCTGGGGATTCAAAGGAAGAAAATACATTGTGAGAGGAAAGGGGATGGTCTGGAGCCCATGGAATCTCAAACACCAAAGGCAGCAACAGTGGTCCTGGAGATACAAAACGGGAGGTAAGATGTCACAAACCAGCTCTTCAGTCTTGCATTTAGCTGGCTGTGCACTGAACTGTTAACTCAATTTTACATCTCACAGGGTTCAAACAAATCCTTTATAATAAAATGAAAAGTGTTTTCCTTCCTAAAATTTCTCATGTGTACAGAAGTGACATTTTAACATCATTGGAGAAGAGGTAATATAGATAAATACAAGTGAACAGTAATACTTCTGTGGATTGATTTTAGTTATACAATATGAGCCATGAAATTTAAAAAAAAGTGGACACGGGTACTATGACAAATTTTAGATGGCTATATGAAGTATTTCCTAAAACATGTACTTGAAGTTGATTTTCATTGATGACTTTTCACTGATACATTAGGCCTTGTGGCCCTCTTACAATGGTGACGCTTATGAGAAGAATAGCTAGTCAAGTTAGGGATACAGTTTGTGGCAACGAAATAAAGTGGAGTTGTCTACATTATTCATCCAGTACTGATTTACTCTGTACTTGATACTTAATTACTACACTATTACACTGGACTAAGTACTATGAGGAATAGCCTGATCTTTAGGAGCTGACAGTGTAAAGAAAAAATACATTAGCATTAACAAAAGTCCATGAACAAAAATTTATAACATCATGGAAAACATTTTGCATTGTAGTACCTGGTGGTAAATATCAGTGAAATCTATTCACTTGACCTTCCTGACACACTGTTTATAACTCATCTCAATTTACTTAAATATGGGTATCTCTTATGCAAGAGAAAATGTTAATGATGTGGCCAGTCTACTTTTATCACTATCTCCATCCTCTCTATTAAAGTCCTGGGGGAAACACACATACATATACCCATTCAGTCCTTGCTCACCTTTGCCACTAGCTAGTCCCTCTGCCTAGAATTTCTTTTTCCAGTATTTGACTTATATTGCCAGTTCATTGTTGTTATTCACCTCTTAATTTAAATGGCATTTCAGGGAGAGCTTCCTACTCTACATAATCTAGTATCTTCAGAATCACCAGAAAGTCTCTGCATAGCTCTAAATATTTGAAGTTTATCTTTTTCCGTGTTTGTCTATATATGGGTAAGATCCTTTCCTGTTCTGTATCTTCAACCTACAAAAAAGTATCTTAAGCAAAGGAGGTGATTGATAAATATTTGCAAATGAATTAATTTCACGTTTCCAAATGCAACTGAGATAATGGAGGACTACTGCTGATTACTTTATGAATCTTTTGTGGTGGCCTGGTTCGGTTGTATATTAGTTTATTACTTAATACGTTCTCAGAATTAGGATGTAGCTCAATTTATACTTCAGAAAAGTCTGCATTGATTTGAATGAAATGAAGCTTAGACCAATAGTAAGTGAGCTGGAGCCATATAATTTCTCTGCTTATGCTCATCCATTCAAAATGTATTCTGTCTTAATTTAAAACTCTGTTCTCACCATCTCTGTCAATACTGTCTGATCCCTACCTCCCACTTCTCAATAAAAGAATTTTAGTTTTTGGAAACCATCATTGGCTTTTATATATTTAAATAGAATATAGTATTTGCTAATTGTTCCTTCAATTCCATGAGAAGTGATGCTCCTGTAGTGTAAAATTATTCCAACTACTTCTGCTGCCTTTGTGTCCAGAGAAGTTTCTATAACTATGTTCCATAAGAAGTTTGCCCAAGCAGGCAAATTTATTCTCAGGACCTATCTTAATTGACAAAATGTACTTGGCAAGGCGGATGGGTTTTTAAATAATTTCTACAAAGCAAATAACACAGTTTTGCCATATAGTAGGTGTACAGTACATAGTAAATATTATTTTGGCAGAGTGCTTTTTTTTTTCCCTTTTTGTGTAGTAGTGGGGATTGAACATACAGCCTTGCACTGAGCTATACCACTAGCACCATTTATTTTTTACTTTGAGACAGGGTCTCAGTAAATTGCCCAGGCTGGCCTCAAACCTCGGCCTCCCAAAAGTCTAGGGTTATAGGTTTGTGCCACCCATGCCAGACTTGAAGCACAACTCTTAATAACTAAAAACTGGAAAATCTAAATGTACATTAACAGAAAGTTATATAAATGATAACTTCATCCATATGGTTTAAGAATTTAAAAAAATACAGATCTGTTTGTCAGAACATCTCCATGACAAATTGCTAAAGTACAAGTTAACATTATTATTGAAAGAATAATAACCAAAAAGAAAATTATGCATTTGTATAAAATTCTTATTTAGTTCATGAAAGGAAACAATATTCTTACAATTTAATGTGATTAAAAAGGACCATAGTGCAGCTTTCAAGATCTTACAAGAGATTCTGACTCAGGAGGTATGAGTTAATGCATAAGCACCTTCATCCTTCACAAGCTCTCCAGGGGATCTAAGGCAGTGAGTCTATGGTCAACA